TAAAGAGAAGAGAGAGAGAAGAGAGAGAAGAGAGAGAAGAAAGAGAAGAGAGAGAAGAGAGAGAAGAGAGAGAAGAGAGACAAGAGAGACAAGAGAGACAAGAGAGACAAGAGGGACAAGAGGGACAAGAGGGACAAGAGGGACAAGAGGGACAAGAGGGACAAGAGAGACAAGAGAAACAAGAGAGACAAGAGAGACAAGAGAGACAAGAGAGACAAGAGAGACAAGAGAGACAAGAGAGACAAGAGAGACAAGAGAGAGACAAGAGAGACAAGAGAGACAAGAGAGAAAAGAGAGACACAAGAGAGAGACAAGAGAGAGACAAGAGAGAGAGAGAGAGAGAGAGAGAGAGAGAGAGAGAGAGACAAGAGAGAGACAAGAGAGAGACAAGAGAGAGACAAGAGAGAGACAAGAGAGAGACAAGAGAGACAAGAGAGACAAGAGACAAGAGAGACAAGAGAGACAAGAGGAGAGAGTAGAGAGAGAGAAAGAGGGAGGAAAAACGAGAGGGAAAGAAAAGACAAGGAGAGAAAGAGAACAAAGAGAAGAGAGAGAAAGAGAGAGAAAGAGAGAGAGAGAGAGAGAGAGAGAGAGAGAGAGAGTGAGAGAAGAGAGAAGAGAGCGCAAGGGAGAGAGACAGAGGATACAGTGTGTGTGTGTGTGTGTGATGCGGTTGCGCACTCGTGCGCACGCGGTTCAGGTTCGGGGACTTAAAAGCAACCGAAGCTTTTTTTGGCACCTCTCAAGGAATCTCAGTCTCCTGTTGGCCCACCCCCCTCGCCCCGGCACAAACTGTAGGCAGGTATGAGGATGATAGTCTCCAAGGTTTAAGAGGATTCGTTTTTTGGGCGGCGGGGGCCGGCCCGTGTCGCCAGGCCTAAAAAGAGGTCTTCCGACTGACACATTGAGAAAACAGAGGTTCTCCTGTCAAATACAAACAACATACACTACACAGAGGTTTCCTTGGAAAATGCGGGAGAACGGTTGTCCCGAAAGCATATTCGAGCCACGATTAAGACCTCGCATCACGCCATCCATCCATGCATCATCCATCACGACATCCATCCATGCATCAACGATAACGAAGCCATCTCGAGCGTCACGACACCAAAAGAACACGCACAGGGTTGGCGTTCACGCGATCACGACACCCCGCGAACACGCAGAGGGTCGCCTGTTTTTGCGTCTATAGACAACGCAAAAACACGAAGTTTTTGCGTCCCGACAACGCAAAAACACGCACAGGGTCATCGTCCACCCCGCGACCACGCAGGTCGTCGTCCACCCCGCGACCACGCAGAGGGTCGTCGCTTTTGCGGTTCGACAACGCAAAAACACGCACAGGGTCGTCGTTCATGCGATCACGACACCCCGCGACCACGCAGAGGGTCGTTGTCTTTGCGGTTCGACAACGCAAAAACAAGCAGAGGGTCGTCGTTCATGCAATCACGACACCCCCCGCCCACGCAGAGGGTCGCCGTTTTGCGTTTCGACAACGCAAGAACACGCAGAGGGTTGGCGTTTCGCACGATCACGACACGCCAAGACCACGCAGAGGGTCGTCGTAGTTTTTGCATGTCGACAACACAAAACCACGAACAGCGCTCGCGCGATCACGACACGCCAAGACCACGCAGAGGGTCATGGTTTTGGTGCCTCACGCCAAGAACACTCAGAGGGTCGTCGTTTTTGCGTCGCGACAACGCACAAACACGCAGACGGCTAGCGTTTTTGCACTTTTTTAGCCAGGCGCGGCGGCTCCCGCCAACCCTGCTCCGTGCTTTGAAACATATTCGCCCCGGCTTCCTGCCGAGAAGCGTTTGGAACAAGCATTTGCGCGCACCCCCCCGCCCTGTGGGACGCCGTGGGGGGTCCCGCCTGTCGGGGGCTCCTGAGGGGGTGCTCTGGGCACTGCCTGGGACCCTCCCTACCCCCCCTCCCCTCTTTTTTGAGGCCCTCTTTCCTCCTTTCCTGTTGTGGGCCGGCCCGGCTGCCGAGGCGGCGCGCAAGCGTCAATTAATTTTAAAAGGAAAACCCACGAAATCTATCACGCCATCCATCCAGGCATCATCCATCACGCCATCCATCATCATCCATGTAACGACGACTCTTTAACGACAACCACCTCAACTCTCCACCATGCTTTCGGGCATTCATAGCAAACCCTAAACCACAAAAACAAAAAGTATATACACCCCTTTGACAATTGCGAGCTCCTCCGTGCCCCTCATTTTGCTCTTACAACTAGTGCTCCACATGCAAGATAAAAAAATTTGGGTTTCTTATTTCCTTCGTTCGTTCATGTCGTACCACGACAGAGAAACCAAGCTGCTTCACTGTCCTTATAATGATTGTATTGCCTCGCGGGGAAAGGTGAACGTTGGGCACGAAGGCTGCGCCCTCCTTGTTGGCGACGTGGTTTACCTGGTTTAGGGTTAGAATTGCGCCCCGAAACCCTCAACCCTAAGAGCCTGTTCGCGGCAGAAAGGGAGCGATTCCACGCTACTCAGGCCACAGACTCCAAGGACGATCTTTGTCCACTTGCTTGCCGCGGAGGTCCAAGGGCGGGAAGAACCACAAACAAGGGATTCGATTCGGGAGCCGTAGGGCGGAGACCATGCAAAAAGTGTCCGGGGCATGTTGTCGATTAGCAGCTGCTATAGGACCAACCCCCCAAGCATTGTTGGATTGCATGCGCACACGAAGGTCGTCACCGAGTCACCGTTGAGCAAGCAAGAGATAAAGACAAGTTCTCTTCAACGCATAAAGACGAGACCATAAATATGGGTCCGAACGCTCTCAGGACCCCCCCAAGACCCCCACCACTTTCCCCGGGAACCACCGGGACCCGCGCATCAGCAGCATCAGCCGGCTCTCGTTTCTCCACGAGCCACCACTGTGCAGCGTACCCAGCCCCAAAAGCCAGCACCAGCCCGGGAGTAGCCCCGAAAACGGGAGGTCCCCCTGGTACAGATGAGCTATGCCGCTGGGTAGTAGACGAAAGGCTCCCCTCAAGTTTGAGGGGGGAAGCTTTCGTAATTATCCTGAACAGGCCTTTCCAGGAAGTGCGGGCAGGCATTCGTAGGCCGGGTGGCCTCTAGATGACCCACCCTATCAAATTAGATCCCGATTGCCTAATTTAATTGCGAGCTCCTCCGTGCCCCTGGCCTGTGCATTCGGCCCCGCAGGAAGGTCGCTCCACATGGCAAGCGTCGAATTGGGAAAAAGTCAAGATAATTCAAGGCTGTAGCCCACTCAACGGTTCATTAGCTTAGGGGAGTCGCTTTTCAGGTGTTCCCATCGCTTTACAGGATTTTGGGCATTCGTGGCAAGCCCTTACTAACTTGAAACAAGTAGCACGCTCGTCATATGGAACATGAAACTTGAGCGGCAGGCCGAGGCCAACGAAGACTGCTTGACATCGAAACCCTAGCCCCAAAACCCCAACACCCCTAAACGCCTGAACCCCTAAACTCCTAAACCCCCACATCCCTAATCCCCCAAACTCCGAAGCCCGCAAACCAAGCAGCCCCTAAATCCCCAAAACCCTAAACCACCCCAAACTCTTAAATGGCCTTTTGAGTTGGGTTGGGGGCGGATTTAGGGGTAGAGTTTAGGGGTTTTGGGCCTGCGCGTGAACCGTTCAATATTGACTCTCTCATCATTCTATAATAGAATCAAGACTTGTCCGACCCTGCCCTAAAGGCAAGACTACACTCAAGTCGGTTGGGCTAGCTTTCGTGATGTGGTGTCTGCAAATAAACGCTGACCGTGCATCACTAAAAGCAAAACGACGTAAGATAAATCTACCACTCAGATGGAAGATTACCTTTGACAGTTTGTAATCTTCGCTGTCGACTCAGGGTGCACGACTCAGGGTTGGAAGTTCAGGGAAGCTTGTGCCAGATCCCTCAAAGCTTGACACCACTCGACCATACATTGCCATGCATGATCACGCCCGTCAGTAGATTTTGCGCAGGCCCAGAGCGCACCTCATGGCCGTGAAGTCATGGCTGCTGCATGGCTGGAACCGTGGGGGAAAGGCATAGCAAAAGTGCCCTTCGAACAGCCTCCAGTGTTGGTCTGAACAGATTGAGATTTTCCAGCTTCCACCCACTTCCCGCAAAGGTAAGTCGAACGCACTTGGTCACTTGGCGGCAACACAGTCACGGCTGCTGCGGGGTCGGGACCGCCGAGGGGAAGCGCATGAAGAAGAGCGCTTTTCGCACCGCCTCTGTCGTAGACCCGGACTGCTGAATCTCTTCAAGCTGCGCGTCCGCTTCCACAAAGGTACTTCTGGGGTTCACGTCCGCCAAGTAGAAAATTTCGATCTTGGAAATGATGAGCTCTTGCTTCTCTCGCTCGTCCTCCTGTTTGAGCAGCTCCGTGAGCACGTCCACCCACCTTTGCCGCTGAGCTGAACCTAGCGATGAGGAGATCCCGCTTAGCACTTTTAGAATGTCTTCCTTGCGGGACCAGTGCTTTTTCGGTGAGAGGAGCAACAGATCCAACAGACCCAGCAAACCGAACCCAAGAGCTTCCTGCACGCGGGGCATCCAATAAGTCGCAAAGCCGGCTATCAAGCAGTAGCCTGAAAAGCATACGTTCGAATCGGAGCTGTGGAAGTGCAAGAGCAGATCTCGAACCAGTGTGCGGTTCATCTCCTTGACCGCATGCTCAGGAAAATGCACACGCCCTGCAAAGGACTGTCGTATGTACCACGTCTGACCTCAGATCCAGCTCTGCAGTTTTGCATCTTGGCGGTTGCGCAGCCCGCAGGAGACCCTGAAAGCTGACATACAAACCATAGGCCATAAACTAACTTCACTGCCGGACAAGCTGGGGAGCTGCGGAAGACCTTCTCGAGCGTCGGATCGCCAGCACACCGCGTTCTCAAGAACTGTTCTCCAGCTTCACGCCGCTGCTCAACCGAGCTGAGGGAGTCAAGAAGCCTTAGCCCTTCGTGGTATATCGCGACATACTTCGAGATCGCCGCCGGCCTAAGAAAGGGGTTCTTGCGATGAGCTCCTGCGCAGAGCTGACGCAGCAACAACTTTCAGAAGGAGAGTGGTGCGCAGGGCCTGCCGGAACACTGCCCCACGACACCCTGAACCCTGAGCATCTGCAAGGGGGCGCAGGACAACCCCTGCTAAGCCCAGCACCCCGGTACCTTTCCTCCCTCATGCTCCAGACCAAAGAAAGCAACAGCAGTCAAACATAGCCAACCCCGCAGTAATACCTCATAAAATCCCCCACAAAAGCCCGCATGTAAATGCAGCTGCTGAAAAAGCCTTCACACCACTATTACTTCCTTGCTGCTTCCGTAAAGAAGCCAGCAAAGTTGCTAGGCCCCGGTCCCGTGACTGTCTACAGATGTCTACAGGCTGAAAGAAAAAGTGGACTCCACCATCCGTTGTTGCCGGTGTCCGCTAGGGTACTGTCTAGCTGCCGATCTAGCTGCTCTTGCCAATCCCCAGCCCCGAGCCTGCTGAAGCTGCCCCACTCGGAAAGGTGAAGCACCAACGCCTCGCAACACACAGCCGCGCTTCCAGAACTGGCTCGCTTCCTGTCGCTTCCTGTTGCTTCCTGGGGTCTGTGGCGGAGAAACTTGCAGGATTCTCAGTCCTGCCTTGGTAGCCATGAGCAGAGACGGGAACCAACACATCACCGGCAAGCCACCCTTAAACATTCCCGGACATCCCCAAACAATCAGAACTTGGCGCATCCTGCCTTGGCATCCCAGGCCTGCCACGAGGTCACGCGCCAGCACATTATCTCTGACACCTCCGGAGGTTGCACTCACACGCACACACCCAAAGAGTCACCGGCTGCCGCTCCCTTCGCTGCTTCTGTAGTGGCCTGCCCTCCCTCCACGAGCTCGCTAACCCTCCACCAAAAATACACACGACCTGTTTCAAGCCGAGCGGCGGAAAGACAGTCCAGCACTCCCTGCCTTGGAGCAGGCGGGGAAAGGCTCGATCGCCTCTATGTTTTTTCATGCCTATGCGGACTCTTCGAAACACGCCCCGACCAAGAGACGAGGAAGGATGAGCTGTGAACGCTGCAAACCAACACCAACAACCTTTGGCTTTGAGCAACGGGAGCGGGAGCGAGAAAGACGTCGGAGCTGCCGGCTGGTCAAGACACAAGCCACGATTACCTCTCGACAGCGGGACGATGAGGGACGCCCGCCGTGCTCACGATGCGCGTCCAGAGCAGCTAGCAGCCGGGTGCCAATCCGGATTCAGGGCTCGAGCTTTGGGGTGTTTCGGATACATGGGGACGGAGCCCAGAATAAGCCAAACAGCGAGTTCGCCTCGGCTTCCTGCCGAGAAGCGTTTGGAACAAGCAGGTGCCGCCTGTCGGCGGCTCCTATAGAGAATTTTTGGGCTGTTTTGGGTTTTTCCTGAAACCCTCCTGGAACCGCCTGGGACCCGCCCTGAGACCCTGCCCTGGGACTTTTTGAGACCTTTCCCAGAAACCCTCTTTCCTCCTTTCCTGCCCGGCTGCCGAGGCGGCGCGCGCAAGCGTTTACAATTCTTTCCAATTCCAAACTAGCCATGAAGGGCCTGAGGCCGTTCTTCCGCGCTAGATGCGCTAGAGACCGAGGTAGGAATCAAGCCAAGAGCTGCCAAGGCGCAAGAACGGGGAGGATGCATCGCACGCTTTGCAGAACGGAGACCTGAGCCGAGGCGGTACGCAAACTTGTGCTGCAAAGATCCTTGCAGCTGGGCAGCTGCTGCTCCAAGCCGCCATCCTCCCAGAGATTATCCTGCCGGCCAACGCGAGGGCTACATGGTAATTTGTGGTCTGAGGGGGGGTTTGAGAGGACACAGAAGCCCAAGGAGGTGAAGGTTCTTCACGCTTCTTGGAAGTTGCTTCAGACAAGAAAAGGATCAGGGATCATGTATGCAGATTCACGTCATGGTATGTCACGGTAGGGCTTGCATGGTGTGCAGCTGAATAAGCCTCTGAAGCCTAGCCTGGAGGTCCTGACCTGGCTAAAACATGCAGGGATCTCACTGGACTGTGCGGGATGCCTCGCTCTCACCGCCGCTCTCAGGGTCGCTTTGCGGGCCCTCGCATGTGGTCGCCGTGGACGCAGACTCGCCACCCAGGCTCTTGCGCCTCAGCTCAGAGATCTCAGAGGGCTCAATCCGACTCAGTCTCCGCACAGGCCAGGTACCCCTCGAGAAAGGGACAAAGCGTGACAAAGCTGCGGAAAGCACGCCACCACCCCCAGCTTGCAGGCGAGGCTCGAGTTGGGTTGCGGTGCAGTCTGTTCTTGGCTCTCAGTCTGCAGTTCCTGCAGCCGCTTCGCCAGCTGGAGGTTCTCCTCCTGCAGCCGCCGGCAGCTCGCCACGTGCGCCTCCCGCTCATCGCCGGAGCGCCTCAACCTGAAGCGCTCGCCGGGCAGGAGACAGGAGTCAGGTGAGGCCAGGGGGTTCGTTCGGTCTAGGCTCTAGGAAGATTGCAAGTCCTGCACATCAGACGGGCCGCTGCTTCTCCAGCTCCTCGACGCGGCCCTGGCTCGAGCACAGCTGCTCCTGGAGCCCACCACACCTGCGCAGCAGCAAGCAGCAGCGGACAGCGGCGCCCAGGTCAGCAACATCAACAGTTCAATCAACAGCCAGCCGAGATCTGACGTTTTGCGGCCAAGCATCCAGCGACTGCTCTCTTCTTGGGCCCAGAGCCACCAGGAGCGCTCGGCCTGCAGCTCCGCCGTGAGGGCGTCCGCCCGCGCCCTCTCGTTCGCCAGCAGGGCGGACCTCGCATACAGTACAGGTGCCGTTGGGAAAAACGCTGCGTGTTGCCAGGCGATCCCCGATGAATCCCGATGGATGCTGAACCACTGCTAGCGCCGCATGCCGCATGCGTCAACGGGGGAAAGCGGGTGGCGCGGGGGTCTGATGACCCGCGGATGCTTGGTGCTTGCAGTTGGGCGGCTGTGCGTGCATGTGCCTGCAAAGATCGAAGTACGACCACTCCGCATCCTGACACCTCAGCTTTTAGCATCTTTTAGCAAGACTCTCCCACACACACACCTCTGTGCGACGAAACTGTTAAAGGCGGCAGCTCGCTGATGCTCCGAGACAAAGAGCCAAGCCGCTTGCGCTGGGCTGCCCCAAGCGACTGCATCACGGAGGCCACCCGCACAGCGGCTTCGGCCTCTGCTTCGCGCTGCTTGCGCTCCGCATCGTGGCGCCTGGTTCTTTGCACACAAAGTCGCACAGTACTTTAGTGTACTTATACTGACTCAAGATGTGGTTGGACATGGTGGACCTTTCTGACAACCTGGCTTGGGAGCCCACCGACGGGTTTCGCCATCCAACTCGCTCTGAAGCTTCTGATGCCTGGCGAAGACGTTAACACAAAGCCGCACGTGTCGTTCGGAGTGTCTTGGCATGCCAGTCTTGGGCCCGAGCTGACGTCGCAGCTGCGCACGCAGGGCGGAGCGCCTCAGATCCAACCAGCCTGTGCTTTCGAGGAAAGGCGACAGCCGGCCACACTGGCTGCAATCCGGCCACTGGCCCTTCTGCCGACGACACTGCCTGCGCGCGACGACGCAGCTGGCGCCAGCACCACGCACTCGATCAGGCTAGGTGTCACAAAGCGTCGAGCCGTGTCGAGCCCTCTGCTGAGACCCTGGCTCCTGGCTTTTCCACAGCCTGTCTTCAAGTGCTGATCGCCTCTGCTGACAAGCAATCCCACTTCCGGGCGTGCTCTTCACACGTGGCTGTAACACGACAATCACATGTCCCAGACATGCGCAAGGGTCTTGGAGCCCTGCCTCTCGCCGGAAAGACGGGGCGACGCCTGCCCAGAGGAGGCAGCGGGACGGGCAATCAGGAGCTATGTAACGAAGTATAAGGAGCCAGGGCATCAGCTTCACCCTACATTCGTGCCCAGCCTCTTCAGACGTGGTGGTCCAGGATGTCCGTGTCGAAGGGCTGTCGCTCCAAAAGACCTCCCTGCAGGGCCCCGCAAAAAGCCGATGGGAACCATTCGGGATCACTCGAGGGTCAGGCTGCGACCATCCGACTTTTGAATCATCCGTGACTTCACTGTGCCGAGGCGCCTTTTTTCGGAGCCCGCAGGTTGGGGCAAAGCCGACATTACGGCCATGGCTCACTTTGTTCCAGGGCCGTGTGTGTGTGTGATTGTGAGGTGGCATGAGGTGGCTGATGTTGGCTGTTCCGTGTGCATGCGTGCGCTCAGCCGCAAGGGGTCCAAATCCTCTATAGTCAGGGAGTCAGGGGCTGAAAAAGGAGTCGCGGGAACTTGGCTTCTCTCTTGGCTTCTCTCTTGGCTTCGCTGTAGGTTTCCTAAAGCTGCCCGTACCTGTTAACAGTAGCGGGATGCAGCAGGCTACAGTACTGGCTACGCGGTTGTTACTCTGAGACCAGCGGCTCGTGCTCAGTCAACTTGGACCGAAAGCTGGAAGAAAGACGCGGCTGCCACAAGGCTTTCCACCCCAGGAAGAGATGCCGGACTCCTGGGACCCTTGGCGTGTAAGCTTTAGGTATCTGACATCGGGTAACATCGTGCAGCTGGCGCAGCGTGGTGCCACTTTTGCCCGCGCCCGCCGCTTCCGCAAAGGTACTTCTGGAGTTCACGTCCGCCAAGTAGAAGATCTCGATCTTGGAAATGATGATCTCTTGCTTCTCTCGCGCGTCCTCCTGTTTGAGCAGTCTCGTGAGCACATCCACCCACCTTTGCCGCTGAGCTGAACCCAGCGACGGGGATACCCTGTTCAGCACATTTGCCTTTCCTGCGCCACCTGTGCTCTTTCGGCGAGAGCAGCAACAAATCCAACATGGCCAGCAAACCGAACCCAAAAGCTTCCTGCACGCGGGGCCTCCACAGAGTATCAAAGGAGGCTATCAAGTGGAAGCCTGAAAGGCTTACGTTCACGTAGGAGCTGTGGAAGTGCAAGAGCAGATCCCGGACTAGTGTGCGGTTCGTCTCCTTGACCGGGAAAATGCGCACGCCCTGCAAAGGACTGTCGCATGTACCACGTTTGACCTCAGATCCCCCCTACAGTTCCGCAATGTTCTGCATCTTGGCGGTTGAGCAGCCCGCACGAGACCCTTCAAAATTCAAAACTGACATGAACACCATATAAACTAACTTCACTGCTGGACAAGCTGAGGAGCTGCGGGAGCGTCGGATCGCCAGCACATCGCTTTCTCAAGACCTGTTCTCTAGCTTCACGCAGCTGCCCTCGGATGACGGTTGAGTCGGTTGCACGTGTTGGGAAAAAGCTGAGGGTGGGTTGGGAACAGGGGCAGGGTGTGTCGGGAACACACCGAGGGTGAGTCGAGAACGCAGCCCACGTGCTGAGCGACGGGGAGTTGAGAACGTTTCCCACCCGCAACTTCAAATTCCATTGTCCACTTCCGCCAAGGAGCGTGCGTCTCGCTGCTGCTCAAGTCACGGCTGACCCAGGGGAAACCGCATGGAGAACAGCGATTTTCGTACCGCCTCTGTCGTAGACCTTGACCGCTGAATCTCTTCAAGCCGCGCGTCCGCTTCCGGAAAGGTACTTCTGGGGTCCTTGTCCGCCGAGTAGAAGATCTCGATGTTGGAAATGATGACCTCTTGCTTCTCTCGCGCGTCCTCCTGTTTGAGCAGTCTCGTGAGCACATCCACCCACCTTTGCCGCTGAGCTGAACCCAGCGATGGGGAAATACTCTCCAGCACCATCAAAATAAACTTCTTGCGCCCCCAGTGCTCTTTCGGTGAGAGGAGCAACAGATCCAACAGACCCAACAAACCGAACCCAAAAGCTTCCTGCACGTGGGGCATCCAATCATCTGCAAAGGAGAGCATCAAGTAGAAGCTTGAACTGTGCACGTTGAAATCCGAGCTGTGGAAGTGTAAGAGCAAATCTCTGACTAGTGTGTGGTTCATCTCCTTGGCCGCATGCTCAGGAAAATGCGCCCACCCTGCAAAGGACTGCTGTATATACCACATTTGACCTCAGATCCAGGTCTAGTTCTGCCTCTTGGCAGATGAGCGGCCCTTTAACCTGACATAAACTCACTTCTCTGCCGGACAAGCTGAGGAGCTGCGGATGACCTTTTCGAGCAACGGGTCACCAGCCCACCGCATTCCCAAGAACTCTCTTACTCCGCCCCGCTGATCATCCGGCCGGGACTCAATAAACTTGCTCGCTCCCTGGCATATCTCAGCATACTGGGAGATCGCTGCCGGCCTGGACAAGGGGCTCTTGCCATGCGCATGCACAGGAGCTGACGCGGAGCATCGCGGAGCTGACGCAGCAACAACTTTCAGAAGGAGAGTGGTTTGCAGGGCCTGCCCAATCCACGACACCCCGAACCCTGAACAAGCCCCAGGGCCCCAGCCCCGAGCCTGCTCAAGCTGCCCCACTCGGCAAGGTGAAGCACCACCGCCTGGGAACACAGAGCCGCGCTTCCAGAACTGGAGAAACTTGCAGGGTTCAGTGTCCTGCCTTGAGACCCATGTGCCCGGCAATGTGCCCGAGATCCGTGGAACAATGTAGTTGTAGGCAGAGACGATGGCCACCCCAAATCCCGAAACCGAACACCACGTCACCCCAATCATTCCCCGACATCCCCACAAAGCGGAAGAACTCAGGGCGTCCCGCCTTTGCATCCCTGGCCTGCCGCGAGGTCACACGCCAGCATATGATCTCTGACACCTCCCGAGGTTGCACTCACACTCACACACCCAAAGACTCACCGGCTGCCCCTTCCATTCCTCAACTAGGCTGCTGCCTCTATAGGCACGAACCCTCCACCAAAAACACGATCTGTTTCAAGCCGAGCGGCGGGAAGATAGTCCAGCACACTCTGCCTTTGAGCACATGGGGGAGAGGCAGGCCTATGCGGGCTCCGGGGAAAATGCCACGAAAAAATGAGACATTGAAGGATGGACAGCGAACGCCGTGAACCAACATCATCGAACATCAGAGCCCGACGGTGCTTTCAGACCAACAGCCAATAGCTTTGAGCACCGGCAGCGCGAAAGACGTCAGAGCTGCTGGCTGGCCAGGACCAAAGCCACGACTACTTTCGGGGCTCGAGCTTTGAATGTGGGGTGTTTTGGACCCAGCCCAAAAACAGGCCCAACAGCGGGTTCCAAACTAGCCACGAAGGGTCACCTGGGCACGACCACCGTTAGGCCGTTGTTCCGCTCTGGAGACCGATGGCGAAATCAAGCCAAGAGCTGCCAAGGCGCAAGAACGGCGAGGATGCATCACACGCTGCGCAGAACGGTGACCTGAGCCGAGGATTTGCGCAGCTGAGTTTGCAAGCTCCCTGCGGCGCCTGCCCTCTCTCTCTCTCTCTCTCTAAAATGTACCCGCATCCCGTCTCAAGAACCACATGTCGCGATGGTCTGTGCGGTCGAAGGCGCAGCGCTTCAGCAGGCTCACCTGACACAGGTGCTGGTCTCTAGCGGTCTGTGACTCTCCAGGTCCACTCGGCCCCGCAATGTCCCGCAATGTCCTACGATGTCCTGCATGCCCCCCGACCTCGGGCGTGGCTTGGGGAGGAAGTGGGTGTCACCAGGAGTTCCGGATCCGGCCTTGTCCGAAAGTCCATGCAACAAGGCGTGATAAAGGACAGCCGGCTTCTTTGCAATGGGCGGGGGTGCTACGAGCGTTGGGCTTGGCAAATAAAACATGACGTCGTCGTGGGAGTAAGGTCGCGAAGACTGAACAGAAGCTGCTGCGCTCATCGAAGGGCAATATCTGACACTCTCGCCATGCACATTATGTGACCTGAATGCCACGGCTCGCTGCATCCAGGCTGCTCTCTGCTGGGCAGAGTGCCGTCCGAACTCGCGCAGGCTGCCGCATCCTGCCCCAGCGACTCAGGCGCACGTGCACTGGCAAGCTTTGCCTGTCAGCTGGGTATACTACTAGCTGCTTCCAGTTGGTGAGGACCCACGATGCCGCAGCTGGCATGTTCACGCATGAGCCATGCATTGGAAAGCTGGAAGAGTACTGTCTCCGAGTTGCGAGCACTGTCGAGCACTACACACTGAGGAACCTTGAGGAACCCGCCCCCCCCCCTCCCCCCCTCCCCCCCCCCCTTCGGTAACAGTGCTTGAAGCTAAGGCATGCACAGACCGACCCTTCATGGCTGCCAAGTGGCGCCGCTCTGCGCCACTGCACTGGAGGGCCTGTGGGCTCCATGCAGCCGACGCGTGACAATAAATCATGACATGCATGCGCTCCCACCCTGCCACCCCCCTCCGTTCCTCTTCGGTTGGTTTGGGCTTCTTTGGGGTCATCTCGGGATGAGGTTTGGGACATAGGGCTGCGCATGCTGCCCTGGCAAGCTTCAGACGAGTGTCCGCGTGGCTCGCGGCGACTCCCGCTTTAGAGCTTCGTCCGCTGGCTAGCAGCGCGACTCCTCCCTCATCTCGTTCTCGCTCTCCTCCTGGCAGCTGGGTGCGGGATGGTGCGAGCAAGGCAGAAAAGACGACAATTCCTTGAAGTTCCTTGCCGGTGGCCAACCACCTGGGCGCCGGGCCTTCAACGAGTCCAACCAAGCCGGGCGCCCACGGACACTCCGTCTGCCCCTCAGTTGAAGGGTGCGCAATAGCCGAGTCGCAAAGAGCTTTGGGGGGTGAAGGGGCGAAGCCTGCACAAACAGCTGAGGGGGCCGCTTTGGGCGGGCGCCTTCCCGCGGAAGCTGCCTCGGACCGGGCCAAAGCTGTGAAAAGCATGCGACAACCATGAAAGGCCCACTCCTGCGTCGGGGAGTTGCAGAAGCAGCTCAGGCGGTGGCGGGCCACAGCGCAGCGTCTCTTCACCCTTGCTGTCATTGGACGGCGTCATGGTGGGAGAGCTGGGCTCGGACCTCAATGCGGGAGCTGTCGCGCGTGTGACGGATCCTTGAGACTTGCACAGGCAGCTGAAGGAAACGGACTCAAGAGATGCGAAGGGAGGTCTGCCGCAAAGATCCTTGCAGCTGGGCAGCTGCTGCTCCAAGCCGCCATCCTCCCAGAGATCTTCCTGCCGGGCCAGCGTGAGGGCTACATGCTCATTTGCAGGTCTGAAGGGGGGTTTGGGAGGAGACAAAAGCCCAAGGAGCCCTAGAACAAGGAACTGCTGCAAATGACAGTGGTGAAGGTTGTTCATGTTTCTTGGGGCTCTCTTCAGACAGGCAAAGGATCGAGGGATCACGCTTGCATGAACTGCATGGTGCAGCTGGTTGTCTATATGCATAGTACATTTTTTTGGATGACAGAACAAATGGATAAGCCTCTGACGCTTCAGGTTACCTGAGCTTAGGCCTCAACCAGCCTGGAGGTCCTGACCTAGCTAGAGAATGCAGGGATTCGGCTGCGGCGGATGCCTCGCTCTCACTGCCGCTCTCAGGGTCGCTTTGCGGGCCCTCCCATGTGGTCGCCGTGGACGCAGACTTGCCTCCCAGGCTCTTGCGCCTCAGCTCAGAGATCTCAGAGGGCTCAATCCGACTCAGCCCCTCCTTCTAGTCCTGCCCGCGTACCCCGCGTACACAGGCCAGGTACCCCTCGAGAAAGGGTCGGAGCTGTGGAAAGCACGCCATCTTTAACTTTGGCTTGCAGGCAAGGCTCGGGTCGGGTTGCGGGGCACTCTGTTCTTGACTCTCAGTCTGCAGTTCCTGCAGCCGCTTCGCCAGTTGGAGGTTCTCCTCCTGCAGCCGCCCGCAGCTCGCCATGTGCTCCTCCCGCTCATCGCCGGAGCGCCTCAACCTGAAGCTTATGGGGTTCGTTCTCTCTTTGGTCTGGGAAGACTGCAAGATGCGCACATCAGACGGGCCGCTGCTTCTCCAGCTCCTCGACGCGGCCCTGGCTCGAGCACAGCTGCTCCTGGAGCCCACCGCACCTGCCCAGCGGCACGCAGCAGCGGACAGCGGCGCGCCCCGGTCAGCAACATCAACAGTTCAATCAACAGCCAGCCGAGATCTGACGTTTTGCAGCCGAGCATCCAGCGGCTGCTCTCTTCTTGGGCCCAGAGCCACCAGGAGCGCTCGGCCTGCAGCTCCACCGCGAGGGCGTCCGCCCGCGCTCTCTCGTTCGCCAGCAGGGCGGACCTCGCTGTTGCAGGGAAAAACGCTGCGTGTTGCCGGGCGATCCTCCGAGATGGATGCCGACGCACTGCGTTGATGGGAGGGGTGGGGCGGGCGAGGGGATCTGATGGCTCGCGGATGCTTGGTGCTTGCAGTTGGGCGGCTGCGCGTGCATGTGCTTGCAAAGATCGAAATACAACCACTCCACATCTTGGCACCTCAGCTTTTAGCAAGAATCTCCCACACACCTTTGCGCGACGAAACTGTTAAAGGCGGCAGCTCCGAGACAAATCAACAAATCATTCGGAATCAAGCAGCAGATCGCACGAGGGTCAGGCTGCGACCATCCGACTTTGCAACCATCCGTCACTTCACTGGGCCGAGGCGCCTTCTTCCGGAGCCCGCGGTTTGGGGCAAAGCCCACATGAAGGCCATGGCTCGCTTTGTTCCAGGGCCGTGTATGTGATTGCGAGGTGGCATGAGGTGGCTGAGGTTGGCTGTGCCGTGTGCATGCGTGCATGCGTGCGCTCAGCCGCAAGGGGTCAACTCCTCTATAGTCAGGGGGTGGGAAAGGAGTCGCGGGCACTTGGCTTCTCTCTTGGCTTCTCTTTAGGTTTCCTAAAGCTGCCCCTACCTGTTGACCGGAGCGGGATGTAGCAGGCTACAGTACTGGCTATGCGGTTGCTACTCTGAGACCAGCGGCTCGTGCTCAGTCAACTTGGACCGACAGCTGGACGGAAAGACGCGGCTGCCCTAAAGCTTTCCCCAAGCTTTCCACCCGAGGAAAAGATGCCGGACTCCTGGAACCCTTGAGGCTAAGCTTTAGGTACCTGACATCGGGTAACATCGTGCAGCATGGCGCAGCGTGGTGCCACTTTTGCCCGCGCCCGGAGCGCCACGAATGCAGAGCGCACCCCACGGCACCAAAGCCACGGCTGCCCCATAGGCCCCAGGAAGAACCGCACGGAAGGGGGAGCTTCTTGCACGGCCTTCTGCGACTTTGGACTGCTGAAGCTCCACAAGCTATCAGCCCCGCGAAGGTGCTTCTGGTGCCTGCATCCACATCGAGCCGCCGTTTCTGCTGAAGATTTCAGAAGATGATCCCAAAATATCCCAAACTCCGGAGCACTGTGACAGTGCGGCATCAGCCACCAGCAATCAGAGGGAAACTCGAAAACCGTGCTCGAGCAGCCTCAGCTGACCTGGACAGCTCTTCCGCTCTTCAAACTCCATTGAACACTTCCGCCAAGGAGCACGCATCTCTTTGCTGCGAGGTCACGGCTCATCCCGGGGAAAGCGCATGGAGAGCAGCGCTTTTCGCCCCACCCGCTGTCGTCGACCTGGACCCCCGAATCTCTTCAAGCTGAATGTCCGTGTCCGCAAAGGTACTTCTGGGGGCTCACGTCCGCCAAGCAAGTAACAGATTTCTATCCTGGAAATGATGAGCTCTTGCTTCTCTCGCCCGTCCTCCTGTTTGAGCAGTTTTGTGAGCACATCCACCCACTTTTGCCGTTGAGCTGAGCCTAGCGATGAGGAAATCCTCCTCAGCACTTTTAGAATGCCTTCCTTGCGCCACCAGTGCTCTGTCGGCGAGAGCAGCAGCAGATCCAACATAGCCAGCAAACCAAACGCAAAAGCTTCCTTGCACGCGAGGCGTCCAGTCAGTCGCAAAGGAGGCTATCAAGTAGAAGCCTGCCCAGCTTGCGTTCCCATCGGAGCTAAGAGCACATCTCGGACTAGTGTGCGGTTCATCTCCATGACCGCATGCTCAGGAAAATGCGCCCACCCTGCAAAGGACGCATATACCACATTTGACCTCAGATCCAGCTCTATAGGAACCGCGACGTAGCATGCATCCTGTAGCAACCCCCGCGTCACGCTTTGCACAATCTTTCGCCAAAAGCGATGGCTGAAGAAGCAGGGTCTTGCCAAACCCTCACGAAGCCTTCCTGATATGTTCAGCTCTTCAAAGCCCCCCTGGCCCTCTCTGGGTTCACAGCTCTAACCTCTGACAGAAAGGTGCTTCGGCCTTCAGGACTATGCTCTTGAGCTTCACTGCGAGGCCTGGGTGCAAAGCGACGAAGGCGACCCAGGCCGTGAAGCCGACCAGCCGGACAAAGAGGGGCAAGGCACCAAGATCCTGTCAAGGCTTTCGGGTGTAGGGGAGGTGTCTGCTTGTCTGTCCGTCAATCTGTTTATCCGTCTATCCGTCGATCCTTGCATGCACTGCGCATACGGCTGGAACCGTGGGCAGGGCAGCCGAACATCGAGGCACTAGACAAATTGACCACCAAATCCGAGCACCTATGTGATGCGGCAGGAGTCCGCGATCCGGTTCATGCCACAGACCACGACGACCCCTCTTCTTAGTTGTGTGTCATATGCCGCACGGCTGTTCCGAAGCCACGAGACGAGCCGGCATGCTGCACGAACTGGCTAATTAGTCAAAGTGAGTCGGTTCGGCAAGGGAGCACAAGTAGCGAATCCCAGTACGAGCTGAATCTGAAACTCTCGGACTCCTTCAGATGCACGCCGTTGATGTAGGCATTCACTGCGTCCGGTCCAGGAGCGCCTTTGGAAGCGGAATGTAAGAGCTGCCGCTTTGGGGCCTTGGGTTGGGCTTCAGACTGGTGGGTCTGAAGCATCTTCGAGAAAGAACCTCGAAAGCCTTTCTTTGAGCCTCCTCCCTTTTTGGGGTTCCCGCATTGCATGCCACCGCGAGCGCAGCAGGTGCTTTTTCTCTCCATCCTCAAGGGTTTTCTTCAAGCGGCAGCTTCGCCGCTTGTCAGGTCTCACCACGGTCGCTTTCCAAATCCTAAGCAGTGCCTTGCAATCAACCAGTTGGGTATCAAGCCGGTCACAGGATATCTGAAGGAAAAAAAGAAAGGCCCTGCCCGCGCTCAGCTGGGGCAGGTACAGTTCAAGCTTGCGGCTCTCCACCAACTTCTTTCGAAGTTAGCACTGCAAGACTACAAGAAAGATGAATGAGGCAAAAGCTGACGCCTTCCTGTGCAAAGCATAGCTTATGTCTGACTCTCCTGTGACCGGACTCGTCACCGTCGTAGTCATGGACATTGTCATGGTGCCTGTCACGGTCTCCGTGGCAGTGGCAGTGGCGGTGGCACTCGGGGTGACGGTCGTCCCCGTGACGGTCGTCCCCGTGACGGTCGTCCCCGTGACGATCGTTCCCGTGACGGTCGTCCCCGTGACGGTCGTCCCCGTGACGGTCCCCGTGACGGCGGTCACTGTCACGGTCTGCGTGGCAGTGACAGTGGCGGTGGCACTCGCCGTGACGGTCGTCCCCGTCACGGTCGTCCCCGTGATGGTCGTCCCCGTGACGGTCGTCCCCGTGATGGTCGTCCCCGTGACGGTCGTGACGGTCCCCGTGACGGCGGTCACGGTGTTGGTCGTCATGGTGTTGGTGTGCGTAATCACCGTTGTGGTCGTCGTCGCATCAATGCTGAACACCAAGAAGGAGTCGGAATCGTGTCCGGTCACATAAGCATATGCACCCGCGATCGCAATGCCACGGGAATCGCGCAGTGCGGGGTGCTGCCAATTGCCCACGATGGTCAGGTTGCTTGGGTCAGTGATGTCGATCATCGTCACGGAGTGATGACCCTCTGACGTCACAAAAGCGTAGTTACCATTAACCGCAACCCCCCAGGACTCCTCAAGCAGGGTCGAGCTCTGGATGTAGCCTCCGGGGTCTTGCTAAGGAATTCAACTTTAAGCAACCCTAGCAAAGAGGAAAGCATAGTTTACAAGATGTCCCTCTTCAATCTTAGGCAACTTGCATTCAGCTGCTTAGCAAGCACCCAGGCCTGCGATGGTGGGGTTGCTCGGGTCCGTGATGTTGATGGCTGCGAAGCCGTCAGTGTTGTGGCAAGCCACATAGGCGTAGTCCCCGACAACCGCCAGGCCTCTTGCTTGATCAAGTCTGGTGTCCCTGATGGTGCCCGCGACATTCATGTTGTACGGATCGGTGATATCCACTATGGTCAGCGAGTCCTCTGCGTAGGCCGTCACATAGGCAAAGTTCCCGCCGATCACGATATTCTCCGCGCCATCGAGGGCGCCGTCTGTGAAGTGGCTGGCGACCGTCAGGTTGTTGGGGTCGCTGATGTCGACCGCTGTCACGGCGTCATCGCTATAGGCGGTCACAAACGCGTAGCTGCCGGCGATCGCCACGTCCGTGGCACCGTCGAAGAGGGCGCCGTCTTGGAGAAAGCCCGCGATGGTCAAGTTGGCCTTGTCGGCGATGTGGACCGCGACCAAGCCGTCGTAGTCGTTCGAAGCCACATAAGCATAGTCTCCAGCCATTGCAAGCCCTTCGGCACCGTCCAGCCTCTGGTCCCAGATACTGCTTACGACGCTTGGCCTGTGCGGGTTGCTGACGTCGACCACGGTAAGAGAACCTTCGTCGCCGACCACGTAGGCAAAGTTCCCGTCGACTTTCACACCAGCGGCCTCCTCGAAGCTACTGTGGGGGTTTTCACCGAAGAAGGCCACTTCGTTGAGGTTGGTTGGAGTGCTGATGTCGATCACGGCCACGCCACGGTGCATGAAGCCATTGTTGCAGGCCACGTAGGCACGGTTCCCGACAACGGCAAAGGTCCTGCCGTGTGCGAAAGTATTTGAGTCTGACAAGTCGTCAGTAATTTGGACATTGCCGACGATAGCGAGGCTGCTTGGGTCGCTGATATCAACCGTCACAACGCCATGCAGAGTAGAGACGTAAGCATAGTTCCCAACGATCTCGAGGCCCATGGGTTGGTCAAGCAGGGTGACATTCGAGAGCATGCTGTGGATAGCGATATTGGACAGGTCGGTGATGTCGAGCACCACCAATGCCTTGGGTCCTTGCGCTGTCACGTAGGCGCGGTTCCCGACCACAGCGATGCGAGAAGCTCCGTCCATTTGACCTCCCGAGTTGAAGAGGCCGACAGGGGTGGGGCTGCTCGGGTCGGAGATGTTGAACACAGCAAGGTCAAGGTTGCTGTTTGAAGTGACCATATAGGCAAGGTCACCGACGATGTCAATGCCCCTGCCGGAATACAGCAAGGTGGAGTCTTTGATGGATCCTGCGACGGTGAGATTGGTCGGGTCAGTGATGTCGAACACCACAAAGCTGCTCTGAAACGAAGAGGAAACATAGGCGTAGTTCCCCTCGAGAACAACATCATGAAGCCCTAGAAGCAGCGCAGAATCTCGCACTGAGCTCACGATCGTCACGTTGCTGGGATCGGCGATGTTGAATGACACAAAGTCATAGTACCCACTCACGTAAGCGTAGTCTCCTCTGACCGCGATGCCTTGGGGATAGTCCAAGATATCGTTGTCCTTGATGGACCAAGACCCTACCACAGCTGGGCTAGTGGGATCCGCGATGTTGAGCACCGACACCCCATCATCAAACTGCCCTGTGACGTAGGCGTAGTCGCCCGCGACGGCAATCCCGTAGGCTCCACTGAGCTGAACCTGGTCTTGCAGGACAGCTACGACGTCCACCTTATCGACTCTCGCCGCTTCACTCCACATCATACCAACTTGCAGCAGAACACCCAGGCCGAAGATCATGGTCATGGCGTCAACACAGAGGCGAACGGAAGAAGCTGATTTGGCTGTCTTTGCTTGGGATGCAGCAGCTTGAGCCGTGTTGGGTCAAGCTGCGGGAAGGTGAGATCCGGATCTTGGCAAGGAAGAAGGCCAGGCAGCTAGCTCAGCTTACAGTTCAGCTTGAAGGGCTGTTGAACAGCGCCTGAGACCCAAGCGAACCTCGCACTCGGCAAAAATGCTGAGCCAAAGTCTCCTCGGCCACTGGGTGAATGTTCTACACGTCTCCTGTCTCAAGAGTCGCAACAGGCTATGGGTACGACCTCTTACAACATACAGGCCTGCCATGATCGTTCACTCCATGACTCCGTAACTCCATAGCTCCAAGGACAATCAGGCCTTGTGCTGTACCGTGCGGGAAGCTGGGCTGCGAAGCACGGGTCCCAAGTCCCAAGCGCAGTGCTGCCACACACAAGTCAACCAACGGACCTACATAGATGTTCGAAGTGACTGAGGCTGACTTTCCCATCTGGGGCTTCGGTTTTGGGGCTTAATGGGGTTTAGGAAAGTTTGCGTAGGGTTTGTTTGAAGAGAACCGACGCCAAGCGCGACTTGAGGCGTCGGCTGTGAAAATGCTCGAATGGCCTGCACCCGACAGCGCGGAGCCTGGCATTCAAACCCTCAACCCTCAACCCTAACCCCAGACCCCTCTGAATTAGCATCGGGCAAGTCTCTGAACCCTAGACCCAAGACCCTAAACCTCCAAACTTTGCCGAAGAATGCACAAGCATCAGGAACCTCGAGGGGGTTTAGGCTTCGATCTGAGTTTGGGGCAAGCACAGGTTGGGGGGTCAGGGTTTAGGGATTCGGGTTCGCCCGTTCTCAACCCTGCATCAGTCGATGTGGCCTGCACTGGCGCCCAGCTGCCGCAGCCTGCTCAAGACGATGTTCAAAGGGTTCTGGAGTTTCGGGCCTAGGGGGTGTAGGTGTACGGTAAGGCTGTATAAGGGTTGGGCTTGTTTTGTTTTCGGGTTTCGGGAGGCTCAGGGATGTAGATCTCCGCACTGGGGTTTAAGGTTGAAGCCAAAAAAACAACCAAATCCAAATCCATCGATTAAGTACTGTAAGCTTGACTTTTCTGACGCTTGTGCGATATCATCGCACATGCCCTTGTGGGGCGGTGGTTTGGACAGCGCTGACATCTTGCTGAGTTGAAGCATGTGCGCGCTTTCCTGCTAGCAGCCGTTGCAACTAACCACGAGCGCGCGTGGTTTCATAGCCCAATCACCTTGTAGATAGCCCAACCCCAGGGCACAGAAGGTAGCCCAACATGTCAAGAAGATAGCCCAGAACCGAAATCCCGAGGGCACACAAGGCCGAAAACATGCGACAATGATAGGAAAAACTTTCTACGTCTTGGGGGCGCGTGGTTTCATAGCCCAATCACCTTGTAGATCGCCCAACCCCAGGGCACAGAAGGTAGCCCAACATGTCAAGAAGATAGCCCAGAACCGAAATCCCGAGGGCACACAAGGCCGAAAACATGCGACAATGATAGGAAAAACTTTCTACCTCTTGGGGATAGCGCCTTGAAACTAGGATGGAACTATGAAAAGGCGCATGTTTTGTGGAGTCCCCGCAGGGCACAGCGATAAAACAGTACCGCTGCCATGAATCCACTCGTGAACGCTTGCTTGAAGCTACCTCTCGGTGATAGCCACGTGAGGCTAGCTTGAAACGCTGACAAAATGCCTGTTTCGCGGAGCCTTCCCACAGGGCCCCGTGATAAAACAGAACTGCCATGTGAAACGTAACCTCAATGAATGGTCTTTGGATGGGGAGAATCTGTATTGTTGTCGGAACGATACCCGAACGATACCGCGAACGATACCTTGGCACGGCCAAGGCCAACATGTACTCGAACCTATGAGTGCGACATGGCTGTGCGTCTGAATAGGCGTATGTCGCAGTGTACCCCCCTTTGTTACACACGTTCGACGTTCCCCGTTGTGTCATACAGCCTATGTCGCAATAGGACGCCCAGGGCCTGTTACACACCCTCGGCTTCTGACTTACTACCCTGCACACTGATTGCAACGAGATGCAACGAGCGATGATGCCCTAGCATTCGCGCTTCACACTTCAGAGTTGGCCAACACACCAGCAGACATACACGTACATACATATCGGCACCCTTATCGCAGGTGCACCTTGGCGTTTCCATGCGTTTCGTGTCTCACCTACAGCATATAAAACCGTCACATATTCACATGCTCATGGCAAGCGTTCCCTCGCGTTTCGTGCTCCAAACGATCAGGGTTGGGCTTGTTGGGTTTTCGGGTTTCGGGAGGCTTCAGGGATGTAAATCTCCTTACCGGATTTTAAGGTTGAAGCCAAAAATCACTGTAAGCTTGTCTCTGACGCTTGTGCGATATCGTCGGGGCGGTGGTTTGGGCAGCGCTGACATCTTGTGGTTGAGCATGAGCGCGCCTTGCTGCCAGCAGCCGTTGCAACTAACCAAGAAGAATGGGAGAAAACTCAAATCGCGCCCCGCCCCCCCCCCTCTTCTGAATTGGCATCGGACAAATCTCTGAACCCTGGACCCAAGACCCCCAAAAAACTTTGCCTTAAATGAAAAATTCAGGAACCTCGAGGATGTCGACTTCCCAGTCAAGGGTTAGGTTCTGGGGGTTTGCGGTGTGGAGTTTAGGGTTTGGGTTGCGGGGTTCAGGGTTTTCGCCAGGCGTTTGTAACGCTGAAATCTTAGACACCTGGAGGGTCCCATTTTTTTCGGCTTCGATTCTGGGGTTGGGGCAGGTACAGGTTGGGGGTTCAGGGTTTAGGGATTCGGGTTCGCCCCCCTCGTTCCTCAACCCCTGCGTGAGTCGAAACCCTAAGCAGCAGCTCATGGCCTGCACTGGCGGCCAGGCTGCCTCGGCCTGCCCCAACCTGCTCAGCACGATGTTCAAAGGGTTGTGGAGTTTAGGGCTTAGGGCTTAGGGCTTGGGGCTTAGGGTTTAGGGTTTAGGGCTTAGGGAGTGTAGGTGTCCGGCATGGCTTTATCATGGTTTAGGGTTTAGGGAACAATGATTCATCGCAAAGCTACCCCCGTGCCCTCGAATCACGCCCTTGCATCAAACGACAGCGTGACGAATGTTGGCAAGTGGCAGAAGAACAGCGGACAAAAACGTTGCCAGAGAACCCGTGGGCCTTTGGGTCAACGAGACCAAACAATACAGGAAAACAGCTATCACAAGAACTCTTGACAAATTTGTTGCCAAAGTACCCGTGGGCCTGTGGGTCAACGCGTGGGCCTTTGGGTCAGCGCGATCAAACAACACAGGAAAACAGTCATCACAAGAACTCTTGACAAATCCGTTGCCAAAGTACCCGTGGGCCTTTGGGTCAACGTGACCAAACAAGACAGGAAAACAGATATCACAAGAACTCTTGACAAATCCGTGTACCCGTGGGCCTTTGGGTCAACGTGACCAAACAAGACAGAAAAAACAGTCATCACAAGAATTCTTGACAAATCCGTTGCCAAAGTGGTGGGCCTTTGGGTCAACGTGACCAAACAAGACAGGAGAACAGTCATCACAAGAACTCTTGACAAATCCGTTGCCAAAGTAGTGGGCCTTTGGGTCAACGTGACCAAACAAGACAGGAAAACAGCTATCACAAGAACTCTTGACAAATCCGTTGCCAAAGTACCCGTGGGCCTTTGGGTCAACGTGACCAAACAAGACAGGAAAACAGCTATCACAAGAACTCTTGACAAATCCGTTGCCAAAGTACGCGTGGGCCTTTGGGTCAACGTGACCAAACAATACAGGAAAACAGCTATCACAAGAACTCTTGACAAATCCGTCGCCAAAGTACCCGTGGGCCTTTGGGTCAACGTGACCAAACAAGACAGGAAAACAGTCATCACAAGAACTCTTGACAAATCCGTTGCCAAAGTACCCGTGGGCCTGTGGGTCAACGTGTGGGCCTTTGGGTCAGCGCGACCAAACAACACAGGAAAACAGTCATCACAAGAACTCTTGACAAATCCGTTGCCAAAGTACCCGTGGGCCTTTGGGTCAACGTGACCAAACAAGACAGGAAAACAGATATCACAAGAACTCTTGACAAATCCGTGTACCGTGGGCCTTTGGGTCAACGTGACCAAACAAGACAGAAAAACAGTCATCACAAGAATTCTTGACAAATTCGTTGCCAAAGTACGCGTGGGCCTTTGGGTCAACGTGACCAAACAAGACAGGAAAACAGTCAACACAAGAACTCTTGAAAATCCGTTGCCAAAGTAGTGGGCCTTTGGGTCAACGTGACCAAACAAGACAGGAAAACAGCATCACAAGAACTCTTGACAAATCCGTTGCCAAAGTACCCGTGGGCCTTTGGGTCAACGTGACCAAACAAGACAGGAAAACAGATATCACAAGAACTCTTGACAAATCCGTGTACCCGTGGGCCTTTGGGTCAACGTGACCAAACAAGACAGAAAAAACAGTCATCACAAGAATTCTTGACAAATCCGTTGCCAAAGTGGTGGGCCTTTGGGTCAACGTGACCAAACAAGACAGGAGAACAGTCATCACAAGAACTCTTGACAAATCCGTTGCCAAAGTAGTGGGCCTTTGGGTCAACGTGACCAAACAAGACAGGAAAACAGCTATCACAAGAACTCTTGACAAATCCGTTGCCAAAGTACCCGTGGGCCTTTGGGTCAACGTGACCAAACAAGACAGGAAAACAGCTATCACAAGAACTCTTGACAAATCCGTTGCCAAAGTACGCGTGGGCCTTTGGGTCAACGTGACCAAACAAGACAGGAAAACAGCTATCACAAGAACTCTTGACAAATCCGTCGCCAAAGTACCCGTGGGCCTTTGGGTCAACGTGACCAAACAAGACAGGAAAACAGTCATCACAAGAACTCTTGACAAATCCGTTGCCAAAGTACCCGTGGGCCTTTGGGTCAACGTGACCCAACAAAAGACTCGGAAAACGATCGCGTCGGAATTGTTGGTTCATTGCAAAGCTATTCCTGTGCCCTTGCATCAGGCCACCGCGTGACACATGCTAGCAAATACAAAAAATCCTGAACCCTAAACCCTAAATCCTAAACCCTAAACCCTAAACCCTACCCCTAAACCCTAAACCCTGCATCCATTTTTTTCGTGGATTGGAGGGGGAGTCGGTGGGCAATCGCTCTGACAATGCTGCCTGGGCCTCGGCTTTAAGTAGGCACTTGCCTTTGGGGTTGAGGGTTCAGGGCTTGGGGTTCTGGGTGCACGGGTTATAACCCCAAACTCCAAGGCTCCGTACTCAGATAACAAAACGCAAAAACCGCAGTTTAGAGAACCGACCCCATGGCGCCTTCAACGTCCGACGTGGGGATCGGCTGAGCCTGGGCCTCAGGGATGCTGGGCTGAGAGGAATATGAATAATCACAATCGTAATAATCATAAAAAGAAGAATAGCAAGAATAATTATAATAATCATAGTTCTAATAAGAATAACAGTAGTAATAAACATAATGGAGCGGCAGCTCTGTGAAGGGCTTGAGGCTTAAGGTTTTAGGATTTAAGGGCACTAGCCGGCCATTCCGGAGCAAATCCCAACTTTCAAGGCCTGGGTCATCATGACAACATCATGATGTCTTTCAGGCAGACACTAGCGGGTGCCAGGACAACTAGAACCGCCTTGACTACAGGCGCACACTTCCAAAACCAGACGTGTGCTACCCAGACGTTTGCTACTCTCTGCTCCCGGCAGTTTGCCCAAAAGTCTACACCGCAAGATCCCAAATTGCCCCACGCAAATGTTTCTCAGACAATCTGAGCTCGCTCACTGGGCGCTTGCAACCACGAGGGCCTGCGCAGGCTACGCCACTGTGATGGGTCTAGGGTGTTGAAGGACCTGAGGAGCGAAAAGGACAGACATAGAGTGAAGAACTAGTGGCTGTGGCTCACGGTACAAATCAACAAAGACAGCGACCTCGCTGAATGGGATTGTTTTGTGGTGCCTGTTCCCTGCGAGCTCAATACCGGTGTCAGTTCCGGTGGTTTGGTGGCCATGTCTGTTGACCTGTGCACTTTTCGACAGGGGGGGTTTCAGGAAGTTGGCCCTTGCTTAGTTTAGGGTTTAGGGTTTAGGGTTTAGGGTTTAGGGTGTAGGGTTTAGGGTTTAGGGTTTAGGGTTTAGGGCTTAGGGCTTCGGGTTTAGGGTTTAGGGTCTCCGGTCGGAGCCTGCATTGTGCCAACGGTCAAAAAAGAGGCCGCAGCTCATCGTTCCATCGTTCCGCCTGCGTCACCCATCTTGAGGCGCCTTGCCCCCACCACCCTAAACCCTAAACCCTAAACCCTAAACCCGAAACCCTAAACCCTAAACCCTAAATCTTCGCGCCTGGAGAACGCTTGGCAACCACAAAGACGGCTTCTTCGCACCCCTTTGCCGGTTGTTGGTGCAAGTGGCAAACAAAAATGCAGCTGTCAAGGTGAGGGCGACGTCCTTCTCTTCATGGGGCTTAGGCTTCAAGTGCAGTCCCTGGCTTCAGGCCTACAATTTGGCCTCAAGCCAAACACTCCAGATAATACGCACCACCCGGCGACGGCAGCCCAAAGAAACAAATAGACATATAGGGTTATCCAGTCCTTTCGTTGTTGTCGTCTGTGCCATATGCACTGATCACATGGCCCCTGTTACATGTGCTAAGGTATGGGTGCCCGCACCAAACTTACAAGAGCGATACTCCCATACTGTCCAAACCTAGCACCCCTAAGGTTCAAAAACCTCAGAGCTCTTAGCACCCCTACACACACAAGCCCTAAGGCTCAACACCCTAATTCCTTTTTAGACCCTAAAACCACTAACATCCCCTAAACCCCTATACCCAAAACCCCCAACACCCTTTCTTGCCGTGCCTGGGCATGGGCCGCTTTGGTTGGTGGCCTGCAGATCACCTGCTTCAGAGACGACGTTAAGTAGCTTTAGTAAGGCGTTAAGGGTTTAGGGTGTAGGGTGTAGGGTGTAGGGCTTTGGGTACAAGGTGTAGGGTTTAGAGTTTAAGAAGAAACCTTGAAGATGCCTTACATGACAGCTGCTCTGACAAGTATTCTGGCTTTTGCAAGGTATGCCCCCCGGAGCTTCCGAACACATGCTTCGCTACAACGGTCAACCCACACGAGTCTTCCATGCTAAGGGGTTTGCGTTTCGAGCTTGGGGCCTTGGGGGTTAGGCGTTTGGGGTGAATGGCGAGCATTGTTTCGATAGTGTTGTTTTTTGATATTTACTTGTGGTTTTTGAGGGTTGAGGGTCCAGGATTTGGGATACAGGGCTCCGGCAACTGAAGCAGTGGTGGGGCTGCATGTAAAACATATCGTGCTCTATTTCTCTGCCTGAGGGCCTTAGTCTTGTATAGTGTCCCCTGGAACCCAAAACGCCCCCCCCCCCCCCCCACAATAACTCCAAGCCTTTGGAACTTTTCCGGGATGTTAATGGCCTTCCTGACTACCTCTCCTCGAAGCGAGGATGTCTTTGAGGTTGGTTAGGCCTGTGGGACTTGGATGGACAGTCACGCGATGGTATGGAGTGATAAGCCTGATGTGATTCGGGAAAAGCGGAACCAGTGGGGATAATGGGATTCATACGACAGGCCGAACATGCCAACAGCATGCTGGCATGCTCATGTTCACAAAATGAGAAAGGAAAGCCCGCCTCGTCCAAAAGGCCACCCGTGAGCCAAGCCAGCCGCCAACTGCACAACCTGCACGACCTGCCTCATCGACTTGTTGCCACCAAAAAAAAAGGGGTGAAGGCACCAAAAGGCGGAGTGAAGGCACCAAAAAGGGGAGTGAAGGCACCAAAAGGGGAGTGAAGGCACCAAAAAGGGGAGTGAAGGCACGCAAGCAAGAGTTAAGGCACCAAAAAGGGGAGTGAAGGCACCAAAAGGGGGAGTGAAGGCGTCTGTCCACTCAGAGTCCCTGGCACGAAGACCGGCGAAGAATGTCGATGAAAGGCCTTTGAGCCTAGCTTTGTGGGGGGAGCTCAGAGCACTCACTCCTGGACCGAGCCAAGAAACCATCCAGCACTGCTGAACCACTGCTCCCTCTGCTCCCGCGCTCTCGCTCTGGGCCTCTGCCCTCGGCTTTTCGGCGAAGACGAAGGCCTGGCAAAACAAGCAAGGGAGGGCGGGGGAACTCTTGAAGCACGCAGCCGCACAGAAAGACACCCCTAAACCCTAAACCAGCCCTAAACCCTGCCTCTGATCGAAGGTGGCTGCGAGGAAGAAGCTGAAGATGAGCACCTGGCCGCGAGAAGGGGCCCGGGGTTTCCGGGAGAGGAGGGAGGCGCACAACACTGTAGGTTACAGGGAGGGCGGGGCAAGGGACAGCGCAGGGCACTCTTGCAGACAGACACTCGATCGCAGAGACTCACAAACCCAACCCTTCCAAAACCAAAGAAACCCCGTCAGGCTCGGCACGGCACGCCAGCGAAGACGGTCCGACCTGAAAAAAAGGGTTAGGGCCGGCCTTTGGGCTTCCAGAAAGGCAAAACGACCGGAAACCCTACTCAAACCGTGCGCTGAAAGCGTCCGACCAAGGCGAGGACCCGCGCTCCCACAGTCCCAGCACGAAAGCCGACCCGCCCACGCCCTCCTACCCTGCACTGCTCCTCGAGGCGCGGCGCGGGTGGCAAAAACATAACGTGTACTTCCCCAGCAACCAAATCAAGCATGCCTCTGGTCACTTTAAGGACCCATGGTCCTCTTGTAAAACATAGCCAAATGCACGCGAAGGAGTTTTTTATTCGATTTTAGGGTTTAGGAACATTTGGGCAGAACGCAGAGGCAGAACATTTAGGCAGAACACAAAGGCAGAACATTTAGGCAGAACATTTAAGCGGTGGGGCGACTTGAGCCCAACTGTACACGGAGCCCGCAGGGGCTTGAGCCAACTGCACAAGCCGTCGTGTCGCCGTCGTCTATCCTAGTGGGCACGCTGAGCTGCAGCCCAGGGCCGAGGAACCTCGCTTGCGGGGGGAGGCTCTGGGTCGCGGCCCGGCGGTCCAGCGAGTGGAGGAGGTACCCGACGCTTAGGGTTCAGATGGGGCCATGCGTAACCCATCGCCTCCTGTGAAGCTCGCGCAGGCTGGGGAGCCTGGGAGCGGCTCCGAACACCCCAAAACCCCCACACACCTGGGTCCCCGCCCTGGGGAAATGCTGCCCGTTTTTACGGGGAGCCATTTTCCTGGGATCCGGGATCTCTTGGGGAACAGAATGCTGCCCTTTTTTGCAGCATTTCCCGGCGGCAGGCCTCGTTCATTCGCCCAGCATCTTGCCGGCCGCCGTTGAAAAAGAGACCCAGCGTCCGGCAGCGCAGCTTTCTGAAAGCAGACCAGCCATTCTCGGGATTTTTAGGGTTTAGGGCCTTTAGGATGAAGCGCAACGCGTTCTTCGAGGAGCTCGCGCCGTCGAAGCGCCTGCGCGCCTCGGGGGGGTTCGAGGCGCTGCCCGACGGGGTGCTGGGGATGGTCGTGGACTTGTGCCGGTCGCCGAGCGCGACGACCGCCGCCGCATGGCCGAGCGCATGTTCGAGGCGCTCGCGTACAACCACGAATTCATGCCGCTGGCGCGGGACGCGCTCGCGCTGTTGGGGTCCTGCCGGCTGCTCCGCTACGGTCCCCTGTTTGCGCGCACGGTGGTGTTCCAGCACATGCTCCACCAGAACTTCCTGGAGCTCTGCTTTGAGAAGCTCGCCGAGGGCTGCCGCTTGCCGCAGCACGAGCTCCGGGCCCTGCAGATCACTGTGGAGAGGATGTCTCCCGCCCAGGCGCGTCGCCACGCCCTGGAGCAGGCGCTTCTGCGCCTCGCCGTCCGGTGCACGACGGCCCGCTACCGCTGCAACCGCCACCTGGCGCGCGGCGCCGGCCTTGACCGGCTCACCGGCCGACCTCTCCGGAGCAAGCTGGAGGACATCGAGGACGAGGGCAAGGTCAAGCAGCTGGTGGTCTAGGCTTGGAGCCCAAACTAGCAAGGTCGGTCTTCCGACCTTGGTCCCAGGCGCGTTCATCCGGCGAGACCGCCGACTCCCCGTATAGAAAATCATGTCTAGTTGGGCACAGCAACGAGAAGCCATCCGCCGAGCGGCCCAAGGCGGCGTCAGAGCGAGGACGAACGCCCAAGGCGCGCAGCGGCTCCCGCTCGCCAACAACCGCCTGCGGGAAAGCGGGCCAGTTCTACTACGGCCTCGTGGGAGGCCGCCCCGCCTCCAGACAATTCGACGAGGAGCAGCTCCGCGAGGGCCCCACCGACTACATCCTCCTGCGCTCCGGCCTCAAGAAGCCCGTGCGCTCCCTGCAGCCCGACGGCAGCTACCACCTCACCAAGCTCGGGAAATCCTTCTTCCGCGACAAGTACACGGAGTGGCTGGCCCACGTCCCCGTCCGCATCACGGGCACCCGCCAGCGCGGCCGCAATGCCGGGCGCGCCTACATGCGCGAGGACTTCCTGCCCGTGACCGTGGTCAACGGCAGCCTCTCCCGCCAGTCCAGCGGCCTCAGCGACGCGCAGGCCCACGCCCGCGTGAAGGCAGCCGCGCGCCAGCTGGGCAACCCGAACGACGGCGACCCGATCATGGAGCTCAGTCAGGAGACGTACCGCTACGACGCCAACCGCGACTGGGCCTTCTCAACCAGACCCTGCAGGCCATCGACAACCGGGCGCAGACGGAGGTCGCCCTGCGGCAGCCCATGGGCGCGCTGCAGGAAATCACCCAATAGCTCCGGTTAGATAGAAAACTTACTTTGTTAAAATATCACAAATTAGTGATAATTTTAACTATTAGTTAAAATATGTTTTGACGAAAAAATGTAACTAATAGTTAAAATTTGTTTCAAACTTTTTCCAAGAAATATATATAATTTTAGCAAATAGTTTCAAATGTTGTCGGGAAAAATGCAACAAATAGTCAGAGTGAAAATAGCAAGAAATAGTTAAAAATCTGCGGGCCAAGATTGAAACTATTTCCTGTGATTCTGACTATGGATCACAGGCGCGGGGGGTCGAAATTTCGACTGTGGAGGGCTGCAAACTTCGACTGGTTCTTGCTTTGATTTTGTGGTGGCATGTGTGCCAAGAACAGAGGGTTTTCAGAAATGACAAACCACACATGACACAGCAATGCATACACCTTGAAGGAAAAGACATAGGATATACCTCGAGGGAATTTACATGTGTACACCTTGAGAGTAAAAAGGAATACAGACACCTTGAGGGAATACACACGCACACATGTAGAGACGGAGAAACAAGGGATATATATATATATATGTACATATTTGTATATGTATATGTATAAATGTATATATGTATATATGTATTTTTGTACATATATATATATATGTGTATATATGTATATATATGTACATATGTATATATGTATATATGTATATATATATATATATACATATACACATGTATATATGTATATATGTATATATGTTTCTATGTATATATGTATATATGTATATATATGTATATATGTATACATGTATATATGTATATATGTATATATGTATATATGTATATATATATGTATGTATACATATGTATATATATGTATATATAGTATAGTATATATATAGTATATATTATATTATATATATATATATATTATATGTAATATATATGTGTATATGTATATATGTATATTATATATATATATATGTGTATATATATATATGTATATATTTGTATATATATATATGTATATATGTATGTATATATATGTATGTATATATATGTATATATGTATATATGTATATATGTATATATGTATATATGTATATATGTATATATATATATGTATATATGTATATATGTATATATGTATATATGTATATATGTGTATACGCATATATGTATATATGTATATATGTATATATGTATATATGTATATATGTATATATGTATATATGTATATATGTATATATGAAAAAATGTACATGTGTATGTGTATGTATATGTATATATGTATATATGTATGTGTATATGTATATGTGTATGTATATGTGTATATATACCTAAGCCCTAAACCCTAAACCTTAAATCCTAAACCTTTAAACCTTTAAACCCTAAACCCTAAACCCTAAACCCTAAGCCCTAAACCCTTTTGAAACCCTAAACCCTAAACCCTAAACACTAAACCCTAACCCTATAAATTCCTACCTTGAGCGAAAGAGATATACCTTGAGTGCAGTGCTGGTCGAGGAGAGGAGATCACAGGGCCCAGCTTGGACCTTTGACGCCTTCTTGAATCTCACACACCTCTCGTGGTATCTGTCTCTGGTAAGCCACACACACTCCGAGGTAGGAGAGCCTGCTTTTTTTGAGTGCAACGTGCAGCGATTGTATAGGTTGGAGTGCCTGCTTGATTTCTGTAGAGCTCTCGGACGTCGCATGGGTTTAGGTGTTTTTGTGGACACTGTTTGCAGGATGGGCGGCAAGAAGCTTTCTCCATCCGCGGGGCGAAGGCTCGCTGGTGCCCGCATGTTTACCCATGTAGTCAACTTTCAACCCTCTCCCAGTGCCAAAACCACACACGCTCTCTCTCTACACTTTTTGTTGTTTGCGCCGTGCATGTTGGACATGTTCTGCAGCTCTTTGTTTCTGTCATGTGTGAGTTGGAGACTATGGCTGGGCTTTCTAACGGCAAAGGCCGCTTGATAGCCGACCCGGCGATCGCCGTCGGGGACCTCATGGCCGTCATTAACGGGTTCCTCAAAGAGCAAGGATCGCGTGATCTTGAGCGATTGCTGCAAATCCCTCGTGGAGCCAGCTGGAAGACCGGCTTGAACATTGAGTGGATGGCAGCTTTGAGCGAACTCTTCAAGGGGTATGCTCGAGTGGCTCCAAACACGATTCTGCCTCCAAAGAAGCACCGCTCGGCTCTGCTGAATTTGCAAGGGGAGGAAAAAATCAACTACGGCAAAAAAAGCGATGAGGACTTCTGCGACTACATGGACCAGATGATCAGAGTTTGCTTTGGGCAGTTTCGGCAGCTTGCTCAGAGTCCAGATGTAGCGGAGCGAGCCTTCAGGCGAGCTTCACCTTCACAGGTGAGGGCTGTGGAGGAGGTTCTTGCATTGCTGAGCGTGGCCAAGGACATATCTACTGGTACCCCGACCAGGAGTGTTTCCAGCGATTCTATGAACGTGTGCTCTCCCGTTGCAAACGTCAGTCAGGCAGCGGAAGCTGTTGAGAGTTCCATAGTGCCTTCAAGCTCCTCACCGCCAGCTGTGGTGCCAGAGGCTGTGGTGCCAGAGGCTGTGGTGCCAGAGGCTGTGGCCCCAGAGGGTGTTTCAAGAGCCTCGCCTTCAAGCCCCGTGAATCCAGAGGAACTCTTTGCCAGCATCCTTGCCGCCGATCATGTCTTTGTGCCTCCCACCCCGCCCCGTGTGGATAGTGTGCCTGAGCAGCCGACAACCCCGACACGTTGTTCTGCTGCAAAGAGAACCAGCTGCTCACCGTTGGGGTTCGAGAACTTTTTGCAGGCGGAGGGTCTTCTTGTGGGCGACAATGCCGAGTTGCTTGAGAGGGCAGTCGAGACAGTGCCTCTGGGGTCGGACGGGAAAGTGCAGCTCCAGATCTTCCGGGAGAATGTGAAGAAGCCTCAGCCAGGACCCAAGAAGGGTGGCAACAACCAGGGCGGTCCTGCTGCAAACAAGAAGAAGCCAGCCCAGCAGCAGAAGAAGAAGCAGGCCAGGCCTGCACCTGCAGAGGTTGATGAGGGGGACTGCCCCCCAGAAGTTGTTTCCCAGAAGCAGCAGAAGAAGAAGGCGAAGCCTGCGCCCAAGCAGATTCAGGAGCCGGGTCAAACTGTGGAGGTAGTGCCAGCCAACAAGGTCAAGGTTTTCCCCGAGCAGGAGATCACGACGAGAGTTCGTGGCAAGCAGTCCCTCTCTGGGCCGGGCCAGCCGATCAGCAAGAAGAAGAAGAACAAGAAGTGCAACAAGAAGAAGAAGCCCGCTGTGCCCAAGGTCAAGGACCAGAGTCGCACAGCTCGCCGGAAGCGGCTGGTGAGCAAGGCGTGGCATGACAGCTATGACTTGAACATCGCTCGCGGCGTTTGCGATGAGAGAGCCCGCCGGGCTGCTCGCAAAGCTCACAAAGTGGCAGGGATGGAGTTTGATGCCAAGGAGCCAAGGCGTTCCAAGAAGCCGGCTGCGAAGAAGCCGGCAGCCGCCGATGTTGGCGGTGATGTGTGATTCCGATAAATCACAGAGGCTCGAGTGCGCCCTTGTAGATCCTATACTTTTATTTAAATACACACTGAGACCGTAAACCCTCTCTATTCCTCGCAACCAAAAACCTTTATCGCTCTTTGTCCTGAATCTGCAACAAGATCCATACCTGTGAGATGGTTTGTCCATGAGGGCGGGCTACCTCGAGCCAAATTTTGTATCGCAGGTCTCATTTGGGCATACGTGTGTGTGCTTCTCACACGTGCAGCCACAGTCAGGGGGGCATGGGCACAGGAGGTGTCTCACATGATGGCCGGGACGGAGTGCTTTCGCGAACCACAGAGTGCGACAAGAGCTGTTACCTGTGGAGATGTCCATGCCTTGAAGCAGCTTGTGCAGTGAGTGCTTCAGACCTGTGTAGTTCAATGAGACAGATAAGAACAAAATACCCTGAGAGTTTCCCTGAGAGTTTTACCGTGAGAGTTTTTGTATATATACCTTGAGAGGGGGGGGGGGGGGGGGGGGGGGGGGGGGGCGCTACCTGGAGAGTGTGCATGTACCTTGAGAGTTTCGCACTTGCAAGCAACCGTGTAGCCCTGAACCCTTTCAACCTATAATCTGTGAGCCCACACAGGTGCGAATGGCCCGCAGCTCGCAGCGACGTGCTGACGAGGAGGTGCTTCTTCCCGATTCTAGGGGGTTGGGGGGGCCCACCCTTTGTAATCCAGGAACCCAAAATTTTGTGTGTGTGTGGCTTCGGAAAGGGAGAACTAAAAATTTTAGTTCCCGAGTCCAGGGGGTTGGGGGGGTTGGGGGGCTTGGGGTTGGAGTGGGGGTTGAGTTTCAGCGACCCTTTGGGTTTGTAGGCGGCCTTTGGTGTAAATCTGTTAAAACACAAAGTCGACCCACAACACTCTTAGACTGTGTAAGTCTCTCTGGGCCCTTATTGTTGTGAGTAAACCCTAAACCCCTAAACCCCACAGACCCTAAACCCTAAACCCTACTGTAGACCCTGAGCTTTAAAACCTGGAAGCTTCACCTCTTGCAGGGTATACAATGCATTCTGCATATACCCATACTGCAACCCAACCCCCAAACCCCAAACACTAAACCCTAAACCTTAAACCTAAAACCGAAACCTCCGGGCGTGAACATGTCAGCTGCTCAAAGCACAGTTAGTCCTGCACCCATGTGCTTTTATAGTTTTAATTGCATATACCTTTGTGTTTGAATAACGGACAAATATGTATATATGTATATATATATATATGTATATATTTAAGGACCCAGGCTGTCTGTACCTATACACGCTGCCACAAGCTTTGCCCCTGCATTGTGCTCCATGGCTGCTTCCGTTGACCTGCGAGTTTACCTGAAGAACCTGCCCTTTTCCATCACTGAGCGAGTGTTGCGTGCCGGGCTGGGAGGCTATGCGGTGCAGAACGTGTCCATTGAGGAAAGGTTTGCGGTATCAAGCAAATAGTATGTGTTCGGCCTTTCTGACAGTGGGATGCCAGGCTGAGGTGGATCGTTTGATTTTTGGTCTTG